CAAGCGAAAGAAACGTTCGTTATATTCGTAATCCGAATCTCGATTTAATATGAAAAAACGCAGTGAGAGAGAATATGAAAGGCGCTTTGAAGAGGCGGAGGAGAGATTGCGCAAGTATGTGTGTGGATAGTTTCAAGATGAATCTTGAGGAAGCCGCAGTCTGTGCCCAATGCGCGGGTTAAGGACGAACGCCTTAACATCCCTGTCTATTTGTCGAATAAAATACGGGGAACCTGGCAACCGCATAAAACGTGCATTATTCTCAACTTTTTCTCACTCGCGGATTCGACGTCGAGCACCCGGGTAACGCTAGGCAAATCTGTCCCTATCAGCCACAGACGGACGTTACTCCTGTACCCCCTCCCTTATTATTTGCCTGAGGAACAGAACCGGAATTCCAATGATTGGTGAAAAGAGATGATAATTTCGAGAGCATGCGTTATGAAGTTATTACTAAATTAAAAACTTGCTCGTATTTTATTCCCTTTCAGATGCACTTTCTCGAATCGATCCAGCTAGATTTTTGACATAGAACACGTGCAACAGTATTGAGATCACTTGCGAGATACTGTCAAAAACAATACGTTTAAATATTTGTATTGATATAATTCTCTTTTAACAAGCGTAATAAAGAAAATTTATTAACTCAGTTTTTTATTTAATCCTCTGTAATTCTATTAAATAATCTTTTATAACTTATTTCTGTTAACATCATATTTACTAATTATTGCTGTTTATCTGCATTTCATATTTGTTAGTACGCCGTAATCCCTTTTATCGTCATGCATTTTGATTAACGAACTTCGTCGATCTGATGCTCTGCATTTTAAATTAGCAGTAATAAATTGCAAAATTATAATGACTCTGTCAACATGCATTTGACAATATTAATCCCAAAGAAATGTGCCGTTTAAACTGATACAAAGTATTCATAATTGAATATTGTGTATACCAAAATATCGGAACTCAATTAAAATTTCTATGTTACAAATTGAGTTTATACATTTTCTCATTTTCATAGCTTTATGTTACAGCTATTATAATATAGCGACATGCGGTATGCGTTACATAACTAAAGCTAAGTTCGATAGCCGGAGAAACATGATAATCATCAATGTATACCACGTATATTATGGAATTATTGTCAAAAGGTGTCACATCGGTCCGACGTTGCGACCACCATTAAATTTATCGTAAATTGACCCAAATTTTCTGATAATCGATAGAGCTCCTAAAAGCCAAAACAATATCCGACACAATAATCCCGATGTTGTTAGAATAAAATAAGCATAATTAATATGCATAATAAACAAAATTAATACATTATTGTTTATTACTAATTAATATGTCGTTAATTATTCGTTATCTAACTTTTTTGTTATACTTTTTTGTTTATTTATCTATTTATTTCGGTTTTTTTTTTTTCAAAATAGGTATAAATTATAATTATATTATTAATCCTTCACGAATGCAAACTGACAGTTGTGATGTATACACAGTAAAAAATCGTGCGTCCATATGTAGAATTTTTCTTGTGTTATCACATTTTGATTATTACTTCAATGTAAAATAAACATACAACTGATATGTTATTATTTTTGTAACATTTTGATGTGTTAGATTCATGTCACCTTTCTAACTTAACAATTGCGTATGTCGATTAAAAATGAAATATATTATTTTGAGTGTTTTTAATACAATTGTTTCAATTAATTTATATATCTCAAAGTCAATTTAATATCTAAGAATTTTTTTATTCACATTATACGAACAAAAATGTTTTATTAATATTTTTTTCCGAGTTACTGCAACTACTCTTCTATGTACTCTACTTATTTTATATATTAGTTTTAAATCACCCTTAAAGTCAAAATAACAAATATAAATGTAAAGTATTGTGTCAATTATTTAACATTACTAGTTCGTTAATAAATAACACAAGACGAATGAGTTACTTTAACTTAAAACTTAGAGTGGATCTCTAAACATTTTCTTTTTTACTGTGTATACAATTTTAATTAAATAATTGAAATATTTTTATCGCATCAAATCTAACGTTTGTTGCGTCATTCGATTGTTAGTGTAATTGCAGTACACAATCGGGACGGTATATCTTTCATCTCGATTCTGCGATTCACAAAACGATGTGTATGGCAAGGTATAATGTACAAAACAAAGTATGAAAGAAATACAAGCCATTGCATTTCAATGAAAGCTTACTTTGGCCGCATTGGCGTGCTGGACGTGCGCTTCCGAGTTGGAACACTCACGGTTGATTTGTTTTTCTCAACTTCGCGAGGGTAGACGTTAAGTGTACTCAACGTCTTATCGTGCGCCGTGCGGATTTCGGTACCATATTTCATGCGGCAGGCAACTTTTAGCGCTCTTCTTTCATATTTACTCGACCGGTTTGCGAAAGGCACAATACGGAAGATATAAATCCAGAGATTTATGAAGTCGGTGCAGTTCATTGAGATACGCGAAATAAGTCCAAGTATCGGGAAGTGAAAGAAAGTAATTGGTCACGTTTCCAGAATTTATTCTGCAGCAGTCTGAATCAATTTTCCGATATCACACGAGCGTTTATTTATAAGCCAGTTATACATATATGAATTAAACTTCTCAGATACTAACAAACAAGGTAACGTTTACAATTATTTATTCATATCAAGTATTGCATTTACCAAAGACTTCTGCTTCTCTCTCATCATTCTCATACAAATTTATTTTTATGAACTGCAAGAAATTAATGTCCAAAAATCCTTTTTCGTCTATTTGGACAGTTTGAAAACATTTCATAAAAAAAGATCATATTAAAATTACAAAAATCTTTCCATATATGATATAAATAATATCCTACATCTATGTTAACGTTAAAAAGTGCCGTGTTAAGCAGAGTTGTGAGTATACCGTTGGTTGCCGTTGTCAGTGCAAAACACTCGTGCAGAAACCGAAAAATAAACATCGCTGTGAACCAGGAATAATCAGATGGTGCACAGAGAAGGAGGCACAAAAATGCATGCGACGAGAGTGTACAACTACACGCGCGTCACGCCCCGAGCGAACGTACCGCGCAACGGGAGATAAAAGCTTGCTGTGCTCCTCGTTCTGTTTAGCGGTTGGATATTAAAAATGGAGCAGAAAGCGAAGAGCGAAACCACGAAGCAAGCTTTATTCAGTCGGGAACTGTGAGCTTTCGAAGAGCGTCACGCGCGCGTCAACTGGTGGCGCGATTGTTTCGCGTAAACTTGTATACACCTCGTCGCAGAGACAAGTTCAGCCGGCAGAACGAATGACGCGTCCATCTAGCGAAAAGGAAAAAGAAAAAAAAATGGAAGATAAAATGTTTTAGGGCAAACTTTTAGGGCAAATGCATATTCATGTCGTAGCGATGCGACCGCTGGGTCCAAGTGGCGCGAATTAATATGCATAAATTCTGCCATTACCAGTGGCTCAGCTCAGGCAGCTTGAAACGTCTCTTCCCCCGATTTCCGGAGATCCGACCCACTTGCTGAAAATTCTTAAGGACGGCAACACTTTTACCCACTTGCTTAAATCTGAGTGTAACAAAAGTAAGAAATGCCAAGAAGTTTCTTATCACAGCAGGTCGCGCAATATACATATCCACGTTGTATAAAAGTTTTTAATCAAGTTTTCATCAAAACTAAGTTATAAGATAGATAAAACAAATATTGTTGAAAAAAATCACAATAAAGTATAAATATTAAAAGGAAAGAAATATTTTTTAGAGAAATTGGATATTTACAATTTATTCTATTTTTAAAAATTCCCTTGAAATTAACGTTTTATCGAATAATGAAAATTCCTATTTTTTTTATCCTTTTACAAAAATGTCCAAATAATTCTAACATTTTTAGAACTGAATAATAAATGTCTTTGATTATTTGAAGGCGACAATGGTTTTTAAAAAAGGATTATGTGAAATGGAAAAGTGAACAATGTTGGGAACGCTAAAACTTTACTTTCTCAATTATACGCCCCGGAAAAATTTTTCTCTCGTATGTTATTGCTCCTAAATGTATCCGGCACGTTCCTAAAAAAAACTTCGTCAGTCGGAATTTTGCGAGAATTTAATCATTCACGCGAAATTGGAAGGCTTTATGCAAGATAGCATCACGTTTTCGGAAAAATTCACATATATCTCACTTTTTCAGAGCGCACATAAAAATGCGTTATATCAAAAAAATTCGCCATTTTTTTCCAAAGCTCAGGTAAAAATTCTTTGTATAAAAAAGGGAATATTGTTTTGATTTATACACATTTATTATGATGCAATCGTTAAAAATATTCGAATAATATCGAGCACACAAATTATAAATCAATATATCAATGCCGAGAATCACTCATTAAAATAAATAAATGTATGTTTCAAACCGTTTTACATATAAATCTTTGACGATTTTAAAACTATAAACTATAAAATATTTAACATATGTGTGTCTGCATCACCTGAGACATTTCCTTCAATCGTATATAACACGATTCATAATTCATGAGTTATATATTCACAAATTATTTACGCAGTAATAGTCAATAAGCATAACAATCATATTTTATGCATAATACTGATTATATTAAAACATGAACGTGGGGAGATCGATTTTACTGAAATATCTACAATTTAACTATAGATACAAATCTAAAGATAATTTTGTCAAAATAATTACGTAAGAATCTCAAGTATGATGAGCAATACTGCAAAAAGTTTTGACATGCCAACAATTAATTTGAGTATCCTACATAATTATTTTGATAGTCCAATAAAATTATTTTTTAATTTAAATCTACTTAAATTTTTAGATATACCAACAAAACCACCGTTCTTTATGCTTAAGCAAATACAACAAAACGAAAAATGAACGACATTAAATGTTCTAACTATAATACTTCGCGGTTGTGACCCATATGGACTTAATTTTTCAATAAGAAATCCGTTTTCAAAAAATTAAACATCGGAAAGTATATCGTGAGATACTTACCGAGCACGACCAGCTTCACCGGTTTACCGAAGAGAATCTTCCCCCGGTCGTCTTCCAACGTGCAGCCCCACACACCATCGTCCTCTAATCTGACGTTGTCTATGTGCAGTGCTGCGGTTGTCGAGTCGCCGATGTACCGGTGCCCGGTTCCGCTCATTTCCGTTCTCGTGTCTATCGTGATCATATCCACCGGACTACCTTCGTGTAGCCACGTCGCCGGTCGTATTCTGTAACTTCTGACAAGGAGCACAGCGTCCGCATTATTAGTTCACCTAACAAACTTCGTTACACCCGATCTTCAGGCGACAAAGACACTTCAGCCGTATCCCCGCATTACTATCACAGGGCGACTTTGTTTCCGTATAAAGGGAATAATTTCACCGTAATGTATTCAAGGCGAAAGTTACCGTTATTATAAAGTGAAACCGGATATTAATATGCATTAATATGATGAGAGAATATTATTATATAGACATACACGCGATGAAAAGACGTAAAAGGTTACTTTAGATATTACAAAATAAAAAGTGGAGATTACGATTACGTATTATGTTATGCGATTTATTTGAAGTTTGAACATGATATTTTTTTTTCACTTAGACAAATTTCATTTAAAATATTTGAAATATACTTCAATTTTAACTATCCGAAATGTTATTTTAAAGGTTCGAGATCACGACAAATTGATTGAATTCGAACAGGCGTGTTACCTTGCTCCTGGCAGTAATAATCTCGAGTAATTTCCTTCCAGTTCGCAGGGTAAGATGACTTTACTATGAGGCTTCACTACAAGTTCCAGTGGTGGATTGGACGACGTGTCGGCCATGTCTGAAGATAGAGCAATGTTGGTCGTGGTGGAAGAACTGGTAGACCATGACTCCTCTTCGGGGGCCAAAAGGGCCGCGGGTTGCACTACTTCGTCAGGCAGAGGTATCAACGTCGAGCCGGACGTCGTCGTTGTGCTCGTCGTGCTGGTGGTAGTTCGCCTGGAACGCCGGCTACCCTCTTGCCTGCCTCGTAGCGCAAAAACACCAGCCTCGTTCACGGAACCTGTAACAACGACGAGGTATAATGGCATCAGCCTCTCTGACGTGGCCACCATTAAAGAAAGTTACTGTGATTTCATTTTTCGTCAGTTTTTTCTCGCTCCTTTTATAGCGTGTCGCCTTATCGCGCTTTTGTTATTATCGACATTTCTCAGCGCGTCCCGGTTTTCTGTATTCCTGGATAAACCGTCGCGTGACCTCTCGACAAGAAACCACGCTTCAACCACGAGTTCAACTATTATCGGTATTTACCACGTACCGTTGTAACTACTTTACGCTCGGCCACGATTGATTAACTGGACGGACAGGGAGATTAATTAGAATATAATGTACTTGTATGTCGAGTTATATATAATTAAATAGTTAATACAATTACATAAAACCCTCGATCATAGAGTTCTTTTTGCAATATGAACGCTCTTTGAAACTTAATCGCGACATGAAAAGCGCAGATATGCGTTTTAATAAACGGATCGTATTATTAAACTCTCGAGCAAGCCTGGAAAGAGGGGAACGTTGCATCCGCCCAAATTCAAAGGGCGGATAAATTTTCCAGCCGCCCGTTACGGTGAAACAACAAACGGGATTAGTTGTCCGCCTTTATCACGCTTCCACGCCCCACCGGAAAGTAAATATTCTGAAGACTGAGGCTTGATCGAGTTAGCGCGGCTCTGGAATTCGATAAAGCCGCGACAAGAACGTTGCGAAAGACACTTTCCATCCGGCGAGGAGGCGTCGTTCCGCACGCTCGGTCACCCTCACCTAAAACTGCTTACCTATCAAGCTTGGTCGACCGAGACTTCACGGAGAAAACTAATTATGGTTCCGATGAGCCGCAAATAGCTGCAACTACCTAACCTAACGCGACTAAGAGCTCTCTTCCCGGGACTCGCCTTCTCATCCTGCAGCCGCGAGTCCCGCAATCCCTCTGTAGCAAGCCAGTACAGTTGAGGGTGACCGACATCTCAACTTGTTTGCGTGCCACGAGGCAATTCTACGGTGGCTCTTTCATTAACGTTCTCTCTTACCTAACGGCTAAAGCACATACTCTATTCTTTTGAACCTTTGTTACAGCTGCAACGTTAGTCTTTACACTTCTTTAGATGAGCTTCTGTTGTTTCGTGCATGTTAACAAGTATCTTTACAATATCATGGAGAAAATTTAATTTTTTTTTAAATAAATATATACATATAAAGTATTGTTTTGTAATTTCCCCCCAAAAATAAAGTTGGAAATAATACCAACAAAAAATTAAAATACATATACATTAATGTGTGTAATATTCTAAATCAGCATTTTTCAACCTTTTTCACTAAAGAATGAATCAAATTTGTCGAAATGCAATGTTAGGTATATATGCTTCGGTGCTTGTTGTCAGCCTGTCTTTTTATAAATATCGCCAACACGACATTCAGAAATAAACAGCAAAGATTAAAATAAGATCAAAATGAGATGAAATGGAACATAATTTTCAATTTAAAAAATATTTTTTACTTCGTGAATTACTCGGTTTTTTATTTATTTCTAAATTTTTTCGCTTCTTTTTCATCTTCTTTGAAATGACCTTTTGTGGCAGGCCGCGGTATGCCGATTAAAAAGCCATTCTAAAAGTTCAAAAGTTATTCTAAAAGAATGCAAGCATGTGAGATTGATAACAGTTTTAATTAATTTCTTTTTATTATTTGTGAAAGAGATATTCTAGATAGTGAAATAATTTTATTTTTGATAGGTCTTGTTTAATTTTAGAACTCAATTTAATTAGTATGCAATGCAAGTATGCAAGTTACTTATAGTTAGAAGAGTATTAGTATCAAGAAGAAATAAATACTCTACGCAAGTAACAGAACTCCAATTCTACTTTTACTAGCCATGTAAAGTCCTCACGAAGCTGCAGACTCCGCAGAAGACGAGCTGACAACCAAAGTTCTTCGTATTTCTCAAGAACTATTAAATTGAAGTTCTTCAGAGCTACAAAGAGACGAAACTTTACAACAAAAGAACAAGTTTGTAACATATTTTATTTTTGCGATTAAACGATCGTTGATTTATTATCATAATAAATATATTTCATGAATGTTAAATTACATTTATTATGAATCTTAATAACTGCAAAATGGTAATCCAATTCCTTCAGTAAAATAATATTTTGTTATGTTTAACTTCTATGTGTGTCAAAATGTAAATCAATTACTTTTTGTGATTAGTTTCAAAATAAGCATCGTCCATATTAAACATGCATTCAGTAAATAATAAACTGAATCAAATTTAATCATTTTCTTGAGTTAAACTCCATTGTTTCAATCAAATTAATATATAATACTATATAGGAGCAGTGACGGCCTACAAATAATTAAAAATATTTTAAATTGGGTATAATTTGATACTGTGAATTTAACAGTATAATTTACTTTACATAATAAGTTTATTTCAAAGTTATCTATCATAATTACATATTATTATACCAATTGCTAGCTCTGTTCGTTTTACATATATTGTATATACTGCTCAATAAAGATAACGAAGATGAATTTCTTAGAGAATTCATATAAAATTCGATTTCATGTACTATAAATATTTGTCATGCAAAAATTTAGCGGTCAAAAGATGGAAGCGACATTTCGACAATGGAAATCAAATGTTCATCGCTTCCGAGGACAAGAATAAAAATGATTTTAACTTCAGCTATGTTGGGCGCAAAAGAAACTATATCGACCTGCAGTAGCGAGCGTAGTCACGTAGCGATATCATGGTGCTGGCCAATAGCGAGTGGCCTCTGTTCATCAACGTTCCCAATAGTACACCCTACTAGTTATACACCGCTATCGAGTGGATGTTGTTCGACGTTGATGCATGCATTATTCAGGCGGTGTATCCATTCATTATTCATGTCATGATCAATAGATGTCAACAGACCGCGATCTGTATCTGAGCACGTTGCTATGGCAGAAAGTGAAAGTGGCGGCCAAGCGAAATATACGTTGATGGGTCAGACCCTCTCAAAGGAACGTTGCGAATAGGACGATGCACAACGAATTTACGGCGGCCGTGCCGTATATCTAGTCGAGGACACGACATAGGCGATGAACCTTTGATTATGATAGAACTGATACACGCTTAGGAAACTTGTTACCGTGACACAATTATATCGCTCGACATAAAATTGCCGCTTCCAGAATGGATATCTATTTCACGAAAAAATAATCAATTATTAAAATTAACAACATGTAAGTTTTAAACAACATACAAGTTTGATGGAAGTAAACAGAATTTCTGGTTATTATGATCAAATATTTTAGTATGTAATCAGAATACTTAAGTAATCAGTTAAAGTTTGATTAGTATACAGGTGTAACATAATAATATACAATTATTTGATTATTACGACTATAAGAGAAAAAAAGAACATGATTGGATTAACGTGACATATATATGGTAAAAGAAGTATTGATAAAACTAAACAAAATTTCTGGTTATCACAATAAAATAATCTAGTATTTTAACTAAAAGTTTTTGCATCAAAATTCATACAAAAAAGTGTGTTTGATTATCGTAACTAGAATATATATATATATATATATATATAATTAAATTTGTCTGGTTATTTTAATCAAAATTAAAAATCATTCATATTTAATCATCAAACAGTCTAATTAAACGTATTTCAGATTAATTCAATCAACTTTTTTCAGTGCATATTGATTTATTAACAAAACAAGCTATCAGTTCATGTTAACCACAAGTTTTTTTTTCAACATGAATTACGAACAATGTCTCCTCATTCTCATTTGGCGAAATTAACGGCGCTTATTGTTTATAGTAATCATCAATGAGAGGGATCGAGCACTAAATTCGCTCGATTTGTGCTTTTCTGTGCGCAATGTTGATGCATTTGCGATTCGCGACAATGCAAGACGGTAAAGCGGTTAAGAGGATTTGTCACCTCGTGACACCGGATAAACTCCTTTTCCGCTATGCGCGAGGCTTTCGTCGCCACGAAGTGGTAAATTTCTCTTCACATACGCGCCGTCAACGTACGCCGCTGCTATTCTCTCGCATCGCGCATCAAAGGTGAAATATGCGAGTTCGCCATGGGAATTCCGATAATTTGGAAAGAGGAGCAGGTAAACTTCAGCAAGCAATGCCTCGAATCCCCAAAGCATTAGATTTGTCGAACGTTACGGACGAGGGGCAAGCTTTGTAACTTCGTGCTGCGAAATACTACGCGCTGCATCAACCAAGTTTCGTAAAATAGCGTTCCTCTTTAGTTGTTATCTACTTTACGTTATCAAACCGTTAATTTTATTCTCTCTCTCTCTCTCTCTCTCTCTCTCTCTCTCGACTCAGCTCGGTTACGATATTCGACTGGAATTCTAAATGATTTTTCTCTCAAGGAATACTTTGAGTGCAAATACTCTCTCGAGCGCAGTTATACGATCTTATCAAAAATGCATAAAAGTTTTTAGCTTACGCATTTTCTATTATATTCGTACGATAGAACCAGTGTGAAATGCTACACTCATACATACTTCGTAATTCTAGTAACTGGGTTGAATAATAGTCTTTTTTCAAATAAAATGAACAAAAGGTATAGAGGAAAACCTTCACTATTTAATATGATTTATTATTCTTGCATTTTTTAAGAACAATGCACTGATTTACTTGCAACTACATTTTAAAACAAATGAAATTACCTATATACTTTTAATAAAAAGTATACTTTGTCAGATATTACACATTTTATATGTCACAAAATTACTTTACTTACGTTAAATGCCCAAAATATCGCCATGACATTTTAAACGTTTTCTAATATATTTTTGTCTTTTATAACATTGCCAAATTAATCATATAAAGATAAGCTACTATAATTTGTTCAAGTTATTTCCTAAAATAAATTTTCTGCAAATATATGCTACTCTTTAAAAACATTAATAAGAAAAATATTCTTTTGATTACTTTACCATAATACATTTATACGTAAAGTAACGATAAAGTGTAATGTA